GAGATATATATATATATATATATATATATATATGTGTGTGTGTGTGTGTGTGTGTGTGTATCTATCTATCTATCTATCTATCTATCTATCTATATAAAATCATCATCATCATCATCATCATCATCATCAGGCTTCTGATTGTGCCCCATATATATGTATCCCCTGTCCCTGTCTTTCTCTATCTCCCACTGTCTCCCTCTATCTCAAACACATGCTTTGTTTTTCATAGATATATTTTTGAGGTCTCCAGAAGATACCCCAAAGCACTAGTTGTTGTACTCCTTGAAGCAACTAAAAACTATAACAAAATCTTGGAAACTTGCTGTGCAGAAGCTGATAAAGATGCCTGTATCAATGAAAAGGTATTTCACTTTGCATCTTGAAATTTTGTAGAAATAAGTTGTAGCATCTATTAGTGTTGACATTATATCTACATTTTCCCCACAGTTATTCTACTTTTATTTTCAGGTCTTTTTTCATTATTTTCTCCAGTTCTTTATTTTTCTATCCTGTTGCCTCCAGGTACTGCCACCTGCACTATTATGACATATTTGTCTTTCTTATCAATTATTGTTAAAACTGGTCTAGTATTGGTAGGTCTATCCAATTTTAAATTCCCAGAGCAATGTTCTATTACTTCATCTATTTTATGGCCCCACCAGTTCTTGTTTGAGGAAAATGATATTGCTTGCAGATCTTCCAATGCATCATTGTTCTACTTTGTCACACCATTGCTTGTAATCAGTTTGTACAATCTTATTGCAGCAGCTAATTAGGTGATCCAATATTTCTTCAGCTTCCTTGGGGATGGCATTTATTATCTGCTGTTGTCTTTTCGATTATGATTTGTGTACAAATATATGTATTTGTCCTAAAGGCTTGATTTTGTGCAGCCACAATGAATCCCATATCTCTTCAATTTTTCTGCACCTATCCATAGCCTTATAAGTATATGTTTTGCCTACTATTCTTGTAATATACCGGACATATAATATTTTTTCTTCTTATGTCTCTTTTCTATTCTTCATTTGTTCTTTTTTTGTAAGCCAGTTCAATTTTTTCAGTACTCAGTAACCTTTCCTAGTATAATAGCTTCAATATTTCTTATTCACTGCCTTCAGATATTCTTCTAATTCTCTATATTATTGTTCAACTATCTGATGTACTTGCAACATTGGACCCTGACCTAATTTATTTGGTAAGTATAATCAGTCAACAGCACTCCAAGAAAAGCATGATTCACTGTCATTATTTTTCTGGTCTTTAGATCCAGGACTTCTTGTCCTGTTTGGGTCCAAACCACTATTCCAGCTATGTACTATTCCAGTCTTTAACTTATGACAATACCAGAACCCCAAATTTCTGTTGCTAAGTGAAACAGATGTTAAGTGAGCTTTTCCCCATTTTATGATCTTTCTTGACACACTTGTTAAATGAATCATTGCAATTAAGTTAGTAACATGGTTGTTAAGTGAATCTGTTTTTTCCATCCGCTTTGCTTGTCAGAAAGTTGTGAACTGTGATCACATGATGCCGGGACACTACAACCATTATAAATATGAGTCAGTTGCCAAGCAGCTGAATTTTTATCACATGCTGCAATAGTTATAAGTGTGAAAAACAAGTCATGTGTCCTTTTTTCTGTGCTGTTGTGATTTCAACTGATCATTTATAAACAATTGTAAGTAATGGACTATCTTTATTTCCTCCACTGTACTTTAAGAACCTCTTCATTCTCTTGATGTATCCACTTGTAACCTATTTCTTGAGTTCACTGTCCTTGATGTTGTCAGCTTGTAGAACGCCAGGTGTTTGTAATGATCATCTTCATCCATTCATTTCATCAGAGACTCTTGATATTATTTCTTTATTTCAGTTTTCATTATTTTTCAACATTTGATGGTGAGGGTTTGGTCCACTCCAACTCCATTGCAATATCTTGGCTGCATATACGGATAGTGTTGAGGAACAATTCTATTTCAGATGTTGTTTTTCCATACAGTTACAAATCATCCATGCAAGGAGGTGGAATAGACTGGCAGATGCTTTGGATGTTTGATAACCATCACCAGAGTTATTCAGTATTGTTGACAGAGAAATCAGTGCAATGATAAACAATAGTAGTGAAAGTGAGAATCCTCTTTTGATATTAACTTCTCCCAGGCTATCACCATTGACCTATAATCATGTCTTCCATTGTGCTGTCAATCTTTGCAGAAAACTTCTGATGTTTCTACTAACTCCAATTATTGCTAGGCACTTGATTATCAAATTAGTGTCAGGGAGTCTATGCTATATTCAAGTAAGTCTTCCTTCTCTTGCAGTTTTCCAGAATCACCTTGTCAATTAGGAGTTGCTTTTTTGCTGCTCTACTGTTTGGGCAGTTTCCTTTCTGCTCAGGTGCAAAGAGCTTGAAGGGTGCTCTCTAAGCTTGGCTATTTTCTTGCAATTAGTTGTTGTTTCATTACCCAAACTAGGTAATATAATCAATGCTAGTAATGTTACCTAGTTTGGGTAATGAAATGTCTGCAAGAAAAGCTCAGAGAGCACCAAAGAACTCTCATTTCAACATTGAGCTACAAATATTCTTATTTATTAGCAAAGAGCATTTTTTTCAACTAGATGCTGTTGGATTGCATTAGCTGTCACACCAATTAGATTGAAAATTTTGATTTGTTTTATTAGATTGAAATTAGATTGGAAATTTTGATTTGTTGCACAGTGAGCCAGAGGTCCAGACTGGATTTGGCATTTTTATCCACCTATTGAGTTTTTTCCCAAAGACTTGGGATACACAGATATGAAAGTTTTATAGTCTTAGAAGTATCCTTGCAAGATGTTATCAGTTTTGAGTGAGGTTGCCTTTTGCAATATTGGCTGGGGGTGAATTTGTCAAAGTCGATGGTGTTCAAATGTTGCTCTAGGTGGTACATTTACATCCTTTAGCCATAGTCATCCTATTTCTATTTGTTATCACTCTTTTTTTATCTCTCTCTTCTCAGACTGAGTAAAAATGTTTTCTTCTTTTCTTTTTTTTTCTTTTTGTAACAGGCAACAGAAGCCAAAAAGAAATTCAGGGAAATAATTGAAGAACAGGAATATACTTGTTATAATCTGAAGAAATATGGAAAAGATAAATTACATGCATTGTAAGTCTGGTTTATTTGGGATGTTGTAGGAAATGAACTCCTGGGAATGTGCATTAAATATAACTAAATGCTATACTTAGACTTTTAAGGCCATCTTGAGTATATGTCAATAGGTTTCATGAGGCAATATGTGATCTCTATATGAAACAGATTAAACAATGTAATAGAGTGTATGGATGACCTTGTGGGACAAGGGAAAGAATTGCTGCCTAGGAAATAATCAGATGAGAGAAATGGAAATTCCCAACAGCTTAAGTCAGAGAAAGAAGTTTAGGGATGACCCACCCTAACTGATCAGATAGTTAAAAGCAGTGGCAAAAAGTTTGTACCTTTAGACTCAAAATTCTGTATGTAGCCTTATAATAAAGGAGAATTAGCTTATGTAGTCATGTTTCCTGTCTGGTTTACCTGGAAGAACTGGCAAGAGGGATATTCAGAAGAGACAATGGTACTGAAAATAAACCAACACTATGTCTATAGCTATATCTAAATCAATTTAGCTATAGCTAAATCAATTAGCCTTTATATATGAAATATCTTAAAAGGAAAATAGGATATAAACAATGAAGGCATTTTATTGATAAGACAAAGTTTCAGTAATCATATTCAGCTTTTTATAATTCTTAAGATTTTATTTACCCAGAGACTTAAGCAAGATCAAAATCATATGAAGAACATGGTCTGTGGGCAACGATTTTGTATTTTGACCATTTGAGAAAGATTTATATATGTTTAATAGATTATTACTTTGCTATAATCAGCCCTTTTAGGTAGTGCAGATAAGTAGCACAAACTTGCAACTTATAAATTCTATTTTTAAATAACAGAGTCTTACAAATCTGACAGGGCTTCTCTACTCCTTTATTTTTACTTTTAAGGAAACTGTAGATGACCCCTTCTGAGATGCTTCATGCTCTTCTTTTCTTTCTGTTGACTGAGATGGTAGTCTAGGCTGCTGTTTCCCAAAATCATTTTGACATACCATTATATTTATTTACTTTTTGAAATAAACAAAAAGATCCCAAATAAGAAACCTAAATTAATAATGAAAAAGGGACGGAGGGAGGGAGGAAAGAAGGACAACTTTGAGAAAATTTATACACACAGAGAGACACTCACACACACTGTATACAGTCACACACACACACACACACACACACACACACACACACACACAATCTTACGGAATCCATATATAATTTTCTATTGCAGAAGGACATTGATAGAAGTAATCATTTGGAGAATAATTTGGTTAAAATAGTTTATAGTAGATAGATAGTAGAGCTGGATGCAACTAAGTACTTTTAGAACTTTAAAATATTTAATTATTATTCTGTTAATTTTTGAATCAATGCATTTTTAAATATAACTGATCTCAGGATGGATATTCTTCCATTTTCCAATATTTTCAATAGCCAACTGTACAAGGTGAAAATTACTGCTTACAACCCTTGTACCTCATGTTCATCTTCAGAACATTTTATATATATATAAAATGCAATAGAAAATTATATATGGATTCCGTAAGATTGTGTGTGTGTGTGTGTGTGTGTGTGTGTGTGTGTGTGTGTGTGTGTGTGACTATACAGTGTGTGTGAGTGTCTATGTGTGTGTGTGTGTGTATATATGTGTGTGTGTGTGTGTGTGTGTGTGTGTGTGTGTGCGTTTTCTTAAGTTTTTGCGGGTACTTAAATGTATGGCATTCAGCTTTGTTCGGGTATTTTCCCACATCATTGTAGTTGTGCTTTTAAAGTTGTAGCAACGTTTCGGCAGAATCTCATCTGCCATCATCAGACTTCTGTATAGTGTTCATCTGTGAGTCAGACTTTCACAGCCGTTTCTGTTTTAAATTTGGTACTAGCCTACTGCTGTGCCAGAATATATATATATTTGATATCCACAAAGGACAAATGGCACCATTAATGGCTGTGGCGTGCTATTGGCAACTTCTATCTCTTATGTTTTCTAAATTATTCTATAAAGATTAGTCATCTTGAAAGTGACTGATTTCTGAATATGTAAAATATTCTTGGGATTGTAAATTTCAAGAAAGATTCCTATTGCTCTTAAAAACTGATGCTGTGCCAAAATCTGCTCCATACATTTCTGTTTTTGTTTAAAAAATATGTTCATGATCCTTGAGAATTTATTTCAGATTTTTTAGCTTACTTTTCATGGCAGAGGGGAGGTTTTTGTTTATTTAGAATTACAAGATTCTGCTCACCATTCACATACATCTTTGAAGACAATATTGGTTATTTCTTTTTCTTATTTTGGAAACATTCCCAAGGGGAGAATTCCAACAAAGTCCCTTCTCTGGAAACTAAATTTCTTGATGCATAGGGAGCTACTGCTGAAGGAATTATTGTTCACTGAAAGAAAAATAGTTGTATCTATACCAGTGTGATTATGCAAGAAAAGAAACCTAAAGCCCCAAATATGATTGCAAAATAAATTATAAAATAGTACCTTGTGCAATTATGGGGATATCCAATTTTAAAGTGGAAGATTACACAAATATAGGATATTGCAATTTTGTGGAAATACATGGTAGAAATTATTTAGAATCTGCTTTGAAATAATCCTAATGCTTTCCTTTGCTTTTCTTTCTAGGAAATTTATTGAGACACATGAAAAGTTTGTCAATGCTAATCAGGAAACTATATCCCATATTGTTAAAGTTGTTGTGCACATCTATGAAGAAATCTGTAAGGGGAATTCCGTGGAGGTTTTAGTTGATAGAGTAAGATATACTCATGTCTGCTGCTTCAAATCTAAGATATATAGATATGAAAACTCCTAGAAAGAGGCTCTTTTTGTTTACCTGATTGACTTTATTAAGGTGTTTTCTTTTTCTTTTTTACTAGGCCTTCAAAGCACTCAATCATGCTTTTGAGTGGATAAGACATTTGCTCAATGAACTTTTATCCAAAGTACTGTAGAAAGTTAAGAAGTAGTTTTTTAAATGCTCTGTCTCAACCCCAAGGATTTTTTTTTTTACTTTGGTCTTTTTTTCTACTACCATCTTTTGACATTTTCAAATTTCTCTGTTGATTTTTCAAATTAAATTTTCTAAATTCATGAAAATTTGGTTCAACACACACATATACAAACAGACACATTATATTATTTTGTTTTCACAACTGAAGATTGAAAATGTAAATAGAAAATATATAACATTCAGACCCAGGTTCTGGTCCTCTTTAGGCACTAAAGTCTGCTAGCTGATCTTGGGCAAGTCAATTGTTCTCAATCCCACACCATCACAATATAACTCTTTATCTGTCAGCTTTTGTTTTGCTGCATAAAGTATGCCAGCACTTTGCAAACAAGCAAGTATACAACCAAGCAAGAAAAAAAGGGGGAACAGGAAGAAAAGTAGGACATAGCTGTGATACCACTTTATACAAGTGGTAGAGGGTTGTGTGATGGCATAAAATTAGTAGAATTTATTTAGATTTATGTGTTTCTATTTGCTTTTTAAAAAACTTTGACCACCAACCATGGATGGACACACACAAACAAACAAATATGAATCATATTAACACCAACTTCTTAAAAACACAGAAAAGATCTGGTAAACTAGATGACCCTTCATATATACAGTAAATGACTTATATAGTAGTTTCAGGAATGGACTCAAATCCTACCTTTTAGCATCTCTCTAGATGTTCTATCTAGTCATTTTTTTCTAGTAACATCAGCACAATACCTCTGTCTTTGCTTCAGTTTCCTAGAATGAAAGGATTAAACATTTGCAAATAAAAATAAATAAGCATTGTATATTGTGTAGAAAAAGGCTGTTTTAAGAATTATGTCACATTCTCTAAACATTTGAAATAGATTATATCTAATGTGTTGTGTGTTTCCACAGATTTAGTGGTTTACATCAAAGCAAAATCTTTTGAAGAGTTACTTATTCACCATTATTAATTTTATTTGGAAAGAAGCCTTGAAAGGGTTTTGCGATGGTCCATAGTTCCTCCAGCTATAACTTGCTTTTCTTCTAAGGACCAATTTCTCTCTCTTCTTACAGATAGCCCTGTCACAATATGTCTGTGAGCACAAAGATGCTATATCTTCTAACATTGCTCCTTGCTGTGAAAAGCCTCTGGTGGAAAGGCCAAGCTGCCTTGCTACTATAGAAAATGATGTAAGATCTCCGGATCTGCCCCCACCATCTGGAGAAATATTAAAGGAGACAGAAGCATGTAAATCTTATACTGAACATAAAGATGACTACAAGGAAAGGTATGGCTTAGAGATTTTCACACTAGTCCTCACTAAAGGCTGGGGCTAGATTGTACAAAACAATGCAAGTAGATACAGTCTTGTGCTTTGAATGTATGGAACAGATCCTATTCCAAATTGAGATGCAATAAGACAATGGGTATTGGAGAATATTGGAGAGTATTGGCAGTTTTCCCCTAAGTATTACTTCAAAACCTTAAAGCAATGGTCCCCAACCTTTCTGGCTTTGAGGACCAGTGGGGTGAGAAGAAGAGGGAGTGTTTCCACCACTCACACAAATGGATCTTCATGGATGCACATACTGACCTGTTGCTCATGCAAGTGGAGCTATGCCCACATTTACCTACTGTTTTGTGGCCCAGTTCTAAACAGGCCATGGCCCAGTATTGGGCTGGGGTCCAGGGGGTTGAGGAGTTCTTTGAAGAATTATTTGTATCTCATAACTTTATCTCAGCTCCTAAATGACATTGTCTAGAAGGATTTAATTGCACTGTCTGAATTGAAACAAGATGCAGTTGCCAGTCTGGTTGGATTTTTCAAATTGAATGGAGAAATTTTCATTATTCTTTGCTTCAAGTAATAAACTGTTCAGGCAGATGGAGGGCACAATGGTAGGATGATCTAGACATAATACATTGGAATTAAAAAGTTAATGAATCTCTCTACAGAAATAAGAGTCAAAAAGAAAAGAAGCCAAATTAGTAGTTAAATAGAAAAAAAAATGATCTAGCAAACTAAACCTGAAAGGGAGAAGCATGGATTCACAATTGAAACTGAAAAAATATGTGTGTTTGGGTAATTTCAACTGATACCAAAAGAAACAGATTAGTCATACTATAAAAATGCTGGAAGCTGACACACAGCTCTTTTGTATTTGCTTCATAATTTCCAAGATTGACCCAATGTCAGCATTCCAGCAAACGTCCATTCCAAACAGTACCTGTGAGTTTTGAAAGCCATTTTCCATGCTGCCACCCAGAAGACATCTGCAAAGTCTAGAATTATATATAATATAATTATATATTATATAATGGCAGTATTTTTCAATGATTACTGAAATAATACATTTCAAGAACATGGAATATATTGTCTTATTTTGTAGCTAGCAATGTTTTTTGATCTAATTTTTCACTTGTTTTAGCTTCCTCTTTACATTAACAAGAAATCATCCTGAACTTTCTAAACTGATTGATCTGGAAATTTTGCATAAATATGAACAACTGTTGGAAAAATGCTGCCAACTGGAAGACCACGTACAGTGTTTGCATACAGGAGTGAGTTCCTTTGTCTCTGTCCTTCCTATTGGCCCATCCTCAGCCAGCCCAACCCAGCCCCATTGCAACACTATTAATAATTACTCAGAAACTGAAAGACATATTATGCATTGAGACAAGACTTTTATTAAATGTCATATTTAGAATGGAAAATGTCAGCCTGAGGCAATGTATGACTGTTTTTTAATTATTCATTTTTTAAACTTGCTTCTTTTGTTTTGTTAAGTTTTATTTTGCTTGGGAAGATGGAAGATTCATTACACTGGAAGTAATTACAATGTATATTGAGTGGAGCAGCTCTTGAAAAATATTTGAAAATCATAACTATTATAAAGCCAGATATTTTTCTGGTATTTGCTTTTTTCGCTATATTATACAGGTCTTATGTATAATTCCTGCACTGATTTCATTTCCAGGAACAATTTCAGGTCTATTTAAATTTTCATGTCAGTTTGTAATATGTCTAATCTATAAAATAGGTTCAAATGATAGGAACATGTGACATGACATTTTCTATGACAGCACTCTATACAAAGGGGATATTTTTAATATCATTTAGTTACTATAAATGACTTTAGGATCATTCTTCAGAATGGAATGAAGTATAAAGACATCTGTATGATATTTTAAAAAAATGACTCACTGAGTACAGATTTATTCTAAAATTATAATGACCAATGAAGGTTTCTAAAAATTCTAAAAATTTCCAAAAACGCTGTGGAAAGAAAAATTCTAGATATAAAAGGAATATATGGCACTAGCCAGATTAGAAGATATTGTTTGTTCGTCCCTTCCTTTATAGTCACATTTGCAAATTTAAATGATTACAGCAAAATTGTTTTTAATAAATCATGATCTTTGTTATTTTTTCCCATTCGCATTTTCCTCTAACATGGGGAAAATCCAAAGATGCCAATCCCATTTTCAACAGTGTTTAATATCTCTTGCCTCCTCCAAAGTAAGAATATATATTTCTCCAACTTTGTCCTAGCATTATTTATATTGCTTCTTCCTAGGTGTGGTCATTGTTATTTTGTGTGTGTGTATGTGTATGTATGTGTATATGTATATAAATATATGTATATGTGTGTGTGTGTGTGTGTGTGTGTGTATTAAAAATTGTATTCTCTTTCAGGAAGAACAACTTAAATTATACATTAATAAGATTAATGAAGTTGTGAAGAATAATTGTAATAATTATAAAGAAATAGGAGGGTACTTCTTCCAAAACGAGTAAGTTTTTCTTTGGATGATAAATTTTGGATGCAAAATTGTTTATATTCAAGGGGATGAAAGAAAATAATATTTCACCAAATGTTTAAAATGTCTTGAGGTTCTCGTGCACCTGTAGTGATTTTCAGTCTTTTTCAGAGGGATATTCAGGAAATTAATTTCTAAATGTTTTACTGCCTATAAATAGACTAGATAATTCAATTGTAAGTATGAATCTACTTTTTATAATAAAAAAAATGCTAAAATAATAATGTTTTCTAGGTATAAAAGGATTTTAAAATGCACCAAAGGAGTTTAATGTCATAAAGCTTATGGCAACATGTATAAATCATTTAAATTAACATTAAAAATGTAATTACTCAGGTGTTTCTCTGATGTCCCAAAGAGAAGGGAATGGCTGAGATGTGTTTGCATAGTCAGATTTTTAGATTTTGTTGAAAGGGAAAGATTGCTTGGATTTTACTAAAACCCTACAAATCAACCCTCAGGAATTCTTTTTTTCCCCTAGCATCCTTTAGTGCTTTTACAAACTTGCCTTATTCAAAAGCATGCAACTTTTCTAATTGGCCTTTTCTTGCAGATATTTGATCAAGTATAGCAAAATTATACCACAGGCTCCAACTTCTAAGCTGATTGAGTTGACCGAAAAAGTGGCAAAGGTAGCTGAGAAATGTTGCCATTTAGATAGTAATCACCAAGTCTTATGTGCTTTAGAAAATGTGAGTACTGTTTCTTTCATATATTCTGTTCCTTTGCTTCAATTCCATTTCTTCCTTAAGTGACACATCACTATGAAATGTCTGTAGATGGTCTCAGTGGAATGAATGGCTATGTGGGCTTCCAAAGCTAAGAGTTTCCCCTGGGCCAATATCTTCCCCTGGGCCAATATCTTCCATACTCTATCGTCAAGTGAACTTGAGGACAGAGTCTTCCACAAACAACAAATTTCTATTAAAAACGATAATGCCATAAAACTAACTGAGAGCAAGAAAAAAAACATTTTATCAAATATAAATTACTAAGGGATTAGTTACAGGGATCTTCTTAGATGTGTATGAGTGTGATCCTATCCACATGTAATCAAAATATTTTAATGTCGCTATTTGAAGCTGTGTATTCTCAGTGGAGAAATATTAGTGTTTTTCTGTCAAAATTCTGATTTTGTCTTTTTAATATTTCATTTATGAATAAGGTTATACTGTAAATTTACAAATTGGAAACATTAAAATCTCCTGCTACCAAAAAAGAAGCCAACAGTTAAAACCTTTCCTGTAAAGCAATTTGCTAAGTCAACTCAGTAATTTGGTTTCTTGTTACTATGTTGGAATACAAGGAGACAGATCTACAGACAGTTAGAAAGGCAGAAAGAATCAGCAGTTATCTACAGCACATATCAATTAAAATTTTGTCCTAAGAAGGAAAGTGTAGTTTTGAACATTCAGAGAAAAAAGCTATTAATTTATCTAGACTTGTTTTTGACATACCTTTCATGCAACTCTGTTAGCATCAAATAAAAGCTAACCCTTGTATAGCATATACTGGTTATATTATGTAGTTGAAGAAGTTCATTGGATTCCCACCCCCCTCTCTCCCTTCTCAGACAGATAAAGTGATAGGATCTATATGTAGCTATCACGAGGAACATAATACAAACAAACAAATTTGCCATTGCTGTGAATCCTCCTTTATCAGCCGTTGGGAATGTATCAATAACTTAGGACCAGATCCATCCTATGTCCCTCCTCCATTCAAACCTAAAACGCTGGATGCCCCCGAGAATTTGTGCTCACCTAATGAAGAGACTGTGCAGAAAAGTAAGCAAGGGTAAGAAAACAAATCCTTTTAATCTAATATATTGTTACAGGAAATATATCAAACAAGACATGATACTTCATACACCTGCAATTCCTGTGTGCATCGTATTGTATTCTAGGCATGATTTTATTTAGATATCTCCCATATCAATCTCCTGTCTTAGGATATCTGCCTTCTCGAAATGTCTTTAGTGATTTATCTTGCAGCATTTGTTTTCATCCTCTTTTCATCTTTTCTTTTGGTAGAAATTTCTAGTTTCACCAGTGGGAGTTTACACTAAGAAAGTACATAATTAAAAAATTGTGTATATATGCATGGTCAGATTTCTCACCTTTGGAATCTAAAAAATAGTGAAATTGTAGAAGCTCTTAGCTTCAACAGAGGATTTAATAGTTATTGTTTGTCTTGCAGTTTGCTTAGTGACTTGATAAAATCCAAACCTAATATCCCAGATGAAGAGCTTGCCGTTGGAATCCTAGCTTTCCGTGAGCTCCAAACAGATTGCTGTGCAGCTGAAAACAAAAAAGAATGCTTTGACACAAAGGTATACCTTAAACAGGAGAATGCATGGGGAAAGTTTAATAAAGTGTTCTGGACTATTACTGCCTCCAAATTTAAATTTCCCTTCATCAAATAAGCATCAGTTTAGTGGAATAAACTATTACTCTTACAATTCTAGCTGGCATGGCCATATGTAAAAGAGATTTGAACAGATATAAGAATCCATCTTAATGATGATTTTTGTGTAGTTTTAATTCTTTAATTTGCATAATTTTAATATTTTAACTATAAGTCACAGTTGCAATTAATAAGGTTCTACTGTCATAATATAAATAAATATGCATTCACTGTGAAATACAAACCAATTTTAACTTGTAAACAAGGTGAATGGAATTTTGCTATCAGAAATCCACTCTTTAGAGACATATAAAATTTAATAGTAAAATATAATTTTTCTATTAAAAGATAATTCTGCAGATCTGCAGCACAAGAAAAACTTTTGTCACCCGTGTATTATGCCATGGAAAATGATATACACCATAAAAAGTTCCCAGCATCATCAAAGTAAATGAATTGTGTTTGTATTACTGCAAAAAGGGTGCAGACCAAAAGTCCACATCATACTATTTTTATCCTTTTCTATCTTGGTTTTGGTAATACTTTGTATGGAGCCAGTTTGGTCTAGTGGTTAAGGCACCAGGATAGAAACCAAGAAACTGTGAGTTCTAATCCTGCCTTAGGCATGAAAGCTGGCTGGGTGACCAGTTGTCCTCTGGTCTGGGTGATCAGTTGTAGTCACAGGATTGTTATTGTGGGAAAAATAGGAAGAAGAATATTAGGTGTATGTACCACCTTAAGTTGTTTATAAAATAATAAAGTGTGTGTGTGTGTGTGTTTACACATCTTCTGTGTCTTCCTGTGGAATGAGAAACTGACAAATCTAAGAAGAATGTTCTTATGAATAAGAGCAGGGAAGGTTTTAGGTGCAGAAGCAGCCTTCTGTTCATAATAATGACTGTTAGGAAGAACACAATTAATTTATTCAACTGAGTGAAGATTTATGTAATTTACTTTGTTCAGCAAAGTCTCAAATTATATATACTTTTTTGTTTTGTTTTTCAGGGTCAAAAACTGGTTGAACAGCTTCAAAGTGGTCATATAACTGAGTAACTATCTTAGGTGAGCTAATATAGAGATATAGTTCATATCTCAGTGCTTTAGTAATTTTATGCTGATGATGCTTGAATGGGATAAGAAGCCATCCTTGCACACCGAAGATACAAATGTATGAATAAGTCTCTATTCAATCATGATATTCCTTAGATTAATATAATATGATTCCTTGGTCTCTTCAAACAATTCCTTCCTTATTTTGATTAATCCAAAGTGAATTAATTTATTTTCTTTATTCTTAAAATCCTTTAGTTTTAACTGATTTTGTATATTTGTGTTTATAACAGACTATGAAAAATCAGGATGTTGATAATCTATTTATCCAGTTGCCCTAATTTATGTTGATATTTTCTGCTTTGGAACACATAGATTCTTATGCAGTGCCATGGTTATTTTTAGCTCAATTGCTATATATATTGTGGTCCCAAAAATATGTTTCATGTAAAACATTAGCAATGGCATTGTCACCAGAATGTATTTCTTCCATAATGTCTCTATCAAAAGAATTTCCCTCTAATTCTTGATAACTGAGTTTAAATATTTTATATCTATGTCTTCAGCATTAAAATAACAGATTCATCCTATTCTTTTTTGTAGCTTCCACAATGGAAGAATGCTGGAGATAAAGAATCCAAACATCCCCAAGCATCTTTGGTTGCTGCTTTCATGTCAGCCTTCTAATGTCAAGGATCTCCAATTTGATTCTTGGCTAAACAATTATTTCTTATGAAAGTGTCACTATCTTTAAAATGAAAATAAATAAAAGCTTTAAAAAGAAAGATTGACTTACCAATTAATGCTAAAAAGATATAGCATCAGCATGCCTGCAGTTATTTGTTTCCATCTCTCTCTCTCCCTCCCTCCCTCCCCGCCCTCTCTCTCAGTCTCTGTCTCTCTGTTTCTCTCTGTGTGTGCATGTACAAGAGATAGTATGAAAAAGAGAGAATGAAATTCTGGCTACGTTGAGAGGTTTAATAACCAACACATCAAAAATCAAGTAATAGTTTCTGAATATTGTTTTATAATGTTTATTCTGGTCATTTAGTGCTTTTTTCTTCCTAAAAGAGGGTGTGTGTATACACATTATCTCAATGTGTGTGTGTTTGTGTGTGTGTGTGGTATTCAGCTTTATTCAGGTATTTTCCCACGTCATTATAGTTGTGCTTTTAAAGTTGTAGTGACATTTCAGCAGAATCTCATCTGCCATCATCAGGCTTCTGTATTTTGTTCATCTGTGAGTCAGGCTTTCACAGCCGTTTCTGTTTTAAAACTGCTATGCCAGAATGGTTTTTTCTTCATCCTGATTGGTTGAGAGTCTTGGTCTGTGTTTATTGGTCTTGGAGTTTGCTGTATTCTGTTTGATTGGTGTTTCTAATATCTTCTTTCTGTTTTGTAGCATTTTTTTTGTCTTGATTGGCTGGAAACATTGTGTTTCCAGTATTGGAGGCTTTTAATGTGGCTTGGCTTCATGTAAATGGATGGCTATCATTTATTAGGAAGCTAGGTTTCATCTGGGTACCTGATTGGTGTGTGCTTGAGCTGGAGGTATCGGGGGAGGGGAGTCTGTTTGTGCCCAGGTGTTTGCTTGGCTTGTGGTGTGGAGATTTCTTTTTTGCTTGTGAGTGCAGGCTTCCAGATAATTGACAGTCTGGTGGAGTCATCTCTTCTATTCCTGCTTTCAGGTCTTTTTTCAATCTCTATGGCTTCTCTGATAATTCTGTATCTGAGGTTTTCTAAAACAGAAACGGCTGTTTTAAAATAGAAAAGGCTGTGAAAGCCTGACTCACAGACGAACACAATACACAAGCTTGATGATGGCAGATGAGATTCTGCCAAAACGTCACTACAACTTTAAAAGCACAACTATAATGACGTAGGAAAATGCCCGAACAAAACTGAATACCATACATGTAAGTACCCGTGAAAACTTAAGAAAACACACAACTGTATGGTGAAAAACCTTTAAAATGAATAGTTCCAATACATATTTTTAAAAATAAAAGATAATATATTTGGTGAAAAGTCATCCACATCCCTAAATAATACATACACATAAACACACACACACACACACACACACACACACACACACCAAAATCTCTTCTAATATCATTCATGCTTCGGTACTCATGGATACCTAAGATTGTCATTTTAATATGAAGAAAAACAAAGAAAATTATGTTTTTAAACCATACTCAATGAGTAGTCCTTAATGGGTCTAAGTCTACATGGAGGGAAGTAAGCAGTGGGGTGCCACAAGGTTTCATCTTAATTCCAGTACTCTTCAATATCTTCATTAATGACTTAGATAAGGGAATAGAAGGGGAACTTACCAAATTTGCAGATGACACTAAGCTGGCTGGAATAGCTAACACCCAAGAAAATAGGCTCAAGATCCAGATGGATCTTGACAGACTTGAACACTGGGCAAACAGTGTTCTAACAAAATGAAATTTAATGTAGAGAAAAGTAAAGTCCTACACTTAGGCAAGAAAAACCAAAAGTGCACATATAAACTGGCTCAATAGTAGTGACTGTGAGAGGGATCTTGAAGTCTTAGTGGACAACCAGCTAAATATGAGCCAGCAGTGTGCAGCAGCTGTCAAAAAAGCTAATGCAATCCTAAATTGTATTAACAGAGGGATACAATCAAGATCAAGGAAGTACTAATACCACTCTATAAAGCCTTAGTAAGACCACACCTAGAGTACTGCATCCAGTTTTGTTCACCACATTATAAAAAAGATGTTGAGGCTCTAGAAAAAGTACAGAGAAGAGCAACCAGGATGATTAGGGGACTGGAGGCTAAAACACACAATGAACAGTTGCAAGAACTGAGCTTGGCTAGTCTAGTAAAGAGAAGGATCAGGGAAGACATGATAGAGGTCTTCCAATATTTGAGGGGCTGCCACAGGGAGGAAGGGGTCAAACTGTTTTCTAAAGTGCCTGTAGGCCAGACAAGGAATAATGGATGGAAACTGAACAAGGAGAGATTTAACCTGGAAATAAGGAGAAACTTTCTGACAGTGAGAACAATCAACCAATGGAACAGCTTGCCTTCAGAAGTTGTGGGAGCGCCATTACTTGAGACTTTCAAGGAGAGATTGGACTGCCATTTGTCAGAAATGGTGTAGGGTCTCCCGCTTGGGTGGGGGGTTGGACTAGATCACCTACAAGGTCCCATCCAACCCTGATTATCTGTTATCTGTTAAAGAAAAGCTACATATGTAATATATACATACTCATTATCCAACTTATTTTGGGGTTAAACAGGTGCTTAAAAAGTGAAATTAAATGTAAGCAAAAGAAGCTGGAGAGAGAAAATGGAATCTTGTAACTAAAGTATTATTTTATAACAAAACTACTTACTATATTTTCCCATTGGCTTTTTATTATTTAAACATCTAATATCCCCCTCTTTTTGAGACCTCATTAACTTAATACACTACTATTTTGTTCAGATTTTATTTTCTTTCTTATCTATATTTATTCAGAAATTTGATTTTGATTGGCTTTTTCTATATGTCAGTCCCATGGGATCAACTAAACTATGAAACCAATGCTATATAGATCAAAATCACATTTATTGTTACAGCTTTAGTAATACAATCCCAGCTGTATACCAATATTTCCACTATTTTATTATTGAAAGAAATCATCTTAGAAGAAGCTGTATTAGCTAAGTACACCTTTGCTTGTTTTGGAGCAAAGAATTAATTTACAATTTCTTCTCCCTAAGGTTGCTAATTTCATTTTATGTCTGGGTCAGCATGGCTTTCAAAAAAAGAAAATCTACTTTTATTGTACTTTGCTGATATTTTTAAGTTAAAAAATGGTAAAAAATAAACAATAGCAATCCAAAGAGGGTATGTAAGTGTTGAAAATAAGACATAAAAAAAATCCTCAATAGCATAGATGAACATTTATGGGATGTTGAGATCTGTTTTATGGACAAATGAATAACCCTCAAAATTGAAACGGAGGGCATACAAAACGATCTGCCTGTCTAATGCCCTTCCCTGAAGATTCAAATTCATATAACATTTTCATAGTCTAATATAGAAGTGGTATATATCAATATTTTAAGGTGTATTTCCATTTCTTCATTTTTAAATCAAAACTAAAACTAAACTATAAAGAGCTTAGAATGTAAGCAAATTATCCTTCTACCTTCTATCCTTCGTTGAGATTTGTATTCCCATTAACAAATGCTAAAGCTTGAGATAAGATGTTTAGAGGATCCCAAGGATGACCAAGACATTCAGTGATTCCTCCCACCATTTCCCATCCCCCTTCCCCAGATATTCAATGAGCTGCTATTTGAATGTTACTAAAATTTTGAATATCTATAGTGAAATGAGTAGACAAATGAATCTGCTGGTTTCACCATCTCTCAACATTCAAAATTCTTTGCAAAGAAATTTTCAAATTCTGGAAGCAAAAATACAGGGAGGGAAGGAGGGAAGAGAATAAGAATAAGAGGAAGAGGAAGAAGACAAGGAAAGAAAGAAAGAAAGAAAGAAAGAAAGAAAGAAAGAAAGAAAGAA